TCTTGCGTCTGGAGGTGGCCCAGGAAGCGAGGACGCTCTCGACGCCTGTAGCCCAACTCAGAAAGTCGCTGAAGGTTAGGGTTCTTGGGCTTGCATCCTTGGCACGCTCTATGGCCAGACAGCATTCTAGAATGCTGTTCCTTGCTGAAGGTGATGCGAATACCAAATTCTACCACCTGATGGCGTGTCACAGAAAACGCAACAACCACATCCACTCTCTCCGGGTGCTTAACTCCCAAGTTGTTAGGGATGAAGCTATGGCAGAGGCGCTGTTCTAGCACTATGGATAAGTTCTAGGCCAGAACTTTGCCCTCTCGAGAAGGTTTGACCTCGGTGCCATTGGCTTGCCCTCGGTTGAACTCTCGGCACTTGAAGTTCCCTTCACTGAGGAAGAGGTCTGGTCGGTGATTTCTGACATTCCAAACGACAAGGCGCCAGGACCGGACGGGTTCACCGATCGTTTCTACAAGACAGCGTGGCCTATCATCAAGGTGGATGCCATGAATGCCTTCAATGCATTCTGGGAGCTCAACACTAGAAGCTTCAATCTGATCAATGATGCGTACATAATCCTGCTGTGAAAAATAGATCAGCCGGTTGAGATTAGGGACTACCGGCCTTTTAGCCTCATTCATAGCTTTCAGAAGTTGATCACAAAGTGTCTAGCAAAACGACTAGGGACGGTGCTTGATAGCCTGGTTCGGCAAAACCAAACCGCTTTCATAAAGGGTCGGTGCATACATGATAACTTCCACTCAGTGCGGCTATCTTGCAAGGCAATCCATGCCAAGCGCACTCCATGCGTTCTCCTCAAGATTGACATTGCTAAAGCATTTGACTCCGTCTCCTAGACTTTCTTGCTTGAGGTGCTTGCACACATGGGCTTCGGTCAGCGATGGAGAGACCGGATCTCTTGCATTTTATCCATGGCATGCACCAAAATCATTCTTAATGGCAAACCGGGGAGAAGAATCCGCCATGCCAGGGGTGTCTGTCAGGGAGATCCTTTGTCGTCGATGCTCTTTGTCCTCATCATGGAGGTCCTTAATCACCTCTTTGGTTGGCTGGATGACCAATGCTTTCTAATGCCCCTTCGGATCACAGGTCTGCCTTCTAGGATCAGCCTGTATGTTGATGATGCCATGATGTTTGTTGTGCCCAAGGCCCAGGACATGCTAGTCATCAAGGTGGCTCTCCTCATGTTTGGCGAGGCATTGGGCTTATTTTCGAACATGGACAAGAGTGTGGCTACGCCGATCGGTTGTACCGATCTGGACATGAACCTGGTCCAGGAAACATTGTCGTGCAAGGTTGCAAACTTCCCATGCCTCTACCTTGGTATACCCCTCTCCATGTACAAGCTCAAGAAGGCGGATGAACAGAAGCTGATTCATTCGGTCGCGGACAGGATACCCCAGTGGAAAGGGAAGCTTCTTAATGCGGAAGGGAGGACTGCGCTTGCCAAGGCCACACTGTCCGCCATTCCGGTTCATATGTCGATAGCGCTTTGCCTCTCGGCTTGGGCGCTGGACCAGATCGACAAACGGCGATGGGCGTTCATTTGGTGTGGAGACCTGGTTGCTAGCGGCAGGGCTTGTAAAGTCACTTGGCCAACTGTCTGTCGGACGCATGATCTTGGAGGGCTGAGCGTTGCGGATTTGCACTGGGCCGGTATTGCTTTCAGGGCACACTAGGAGTGGAAGCGGCGCACCATCCATGATTTGAGCTGGGCGACTCTGCACAGCTCCTGTGAAAAGATGGTGTCCATGATATTTTGTGTAACCACTGTTTCGGTCGTCGGCTCTGCGGAGTCGATGCTGTTCTGGACCGATAATTGGATTGACGGCAAGAGCATCCAGGCGTTGGCATCGGCACTCTTTGGGGTGGTGTCGGGAAGACGGAGATGGGTGTTGGTCAGCGACGCGCTCCCTGGACATGCGTGGGTGCGTCACATCTCTGGGGCGTTCACGGTCCAGGTCCTTGCTGAGTTCTTCTAGATTTAGCATAAGCTACGGCAGGTGTAGCTCGTCCCCAGAATTCCAGACGTCTTCTGTTGGCGCCTCATGGCGAATGGTTCCTATTCTTCTGCTTCGGCTTATGGAGCCATGTTCCTTGGGTCATCCAGACCGCTGGGAGCAAAGGAAATCTAGAAGATGTCAGCACCGCCGAAAGTACGCTTCTTCTTCTGGTTGGTAATGCATGATCGCTGCTGGATAGCAGAGCGGAGGTTCCGGCATGGCCTTCAGGACTCCGATAGATGTATCTTGTGCAACCAACTCCTGGAGACAATGCACCACATCATCATTGGTTGTGTCTATAGCAGAGAGGTATGGCATATCATACTTGACAGGCTTCACCTCACTGATGTTATCCCTGTCCAAGAAGAGGATGTCCTGGCGTGGTGGGTGCGCAATAGGGAGTTGCTCCAGAAGCATGTGCGGAAGGGGTTTGATTCCCTGTTCTTCCGTATCGGTTGGAAACTGTGAAAAGAAAGGAATGCCAGGACTTTCGGTGGAGAACCCACTCCTCCGGGCAACTTAGCTTGCTTGATCCAGGAGGAGGCCGAGCTAAGTTGCCGTTTGGTTGCCAAATCGTCAAACTGTAAATTAAAATCTCATGCTGCCGTTTGGTTGTTGAGGCTCAGTAATCACTGGATTACTGCAGCTTTGTCGTGTACTTCGAACTTTCTCTTCCGGCTTAATGAATTCCGTGCCAATGCACGTTCGATAAAAGTTATTGGTCAGCTCACTCGATTAGACAAACTGAATACGTTTTGTGTGAAAACTGACAAAAACATGCACGAATCTCAGAGCTGGCAACTATATCAAGGATAACTGGGAAACTAAGTATCGGTTCTCTTAGACACTTGACATACCAGACTGAGGCACGCCAAGCATCCTTGAAACAAAAGGAAAAGTTACATGAGCTCGGACTTTCTTTTTTTATAACGGAACAAAGTTCCAGCCTCCTACCATCCATGGATGGTACACAGCTGGCAGTCGCAGAAAAACACCAACGCCATATGGCTTACACGTCCAAAGAAAAGAAACAAAGTTCAGCCCAACTAGTGGGCGCAGCTAACAAAGCAAAACACTAGGCTTCAATACAATTCATGAACTTTCAGCCGAACTTCACAAAGACGGCCATGATCAACATCTCCCATCTTCTGCATCCCTCAAAGAACAGTGGTCTCTCCTCTTCCTTGTGCAGCAAGGACCACTGTCGTATCCAATACGTCGTCCTATAAATTACCTGCAACGATGTATTAGATTTGGCTTTGTTGAATACCATATCATTTCTATTCAACCAAATCGACCGACACAATTCAGCAGCTCCTAGCAAAATTTGGTTTCTAAGTTTTAAACTTAAACCATGTAGCCAAGAGCCAAACAGATTGGCCAAACTAGTAGGAGGTTGAATTCCATAAGCCATATGCACAGTATTCCAAACAAAGCGTGCAAAATAGCAGTCAAAGAACAAATGTTGAATAGTTTCAACCGAACTACAGACACAGCATTTAGTACTTCCCTGTCAATTCCTCTTGGCTAAATTATCTTTCGTAAGGGTTACTTCTTTTTTTAGATACCATAGAAAAATCTTAATTTTTAGTGGTATCTTTAATTTCCATAAAGGACTTTTGCCTGAGGGAATATCTTCCTAGATAAAACTTGAATACATGGATCGGACTGTGAACTGGCCATTCTTGGTGAGATTCCATCGAAAAACATCCTTGTCATCTCTTAGATGGATTTGTACAACTCTTGACACTAGGTCGAGCCAAGCCATCCGGTTCGTATTAACCAAACCTCGTCTAAAAGACACGTTAAGTGGTATAGACCCAAGGACGTTTGCCACCGTATCTTCTTTACGCCTCACAATTCGAAATAGGTTGGGATAAACCTCACTAAAAGGTTTATCACCTAACCACACATCTTTCCAGAATCATACTTGTTCCCCGCTCTGCACTGTAAAGGTGCCACGAGATAAGAAGTCATCTTTAGCCTTCATGAGGCCACTCCAGAGATGTGAATCCCCAGGCCTATGATGTACTTGGGCTAGTGGTTTGTTAGACAAATATTTCCTTCTTAGAAGGACTTACCAAACCCCATCCTCATTTATGAGCCTAAACAACCATTTGCTCAAAAGACATCTATTTTGAAGGTCCAGATTAAGTATTCCAAGGCCACCAAAATATTTTGGTGTGCAAAGAACACTCCACTTGGCAAGCCTGTATTTCGTTTTATGTTCATCACATTGCCAGAAAAAGCGCGAACGATAGTAATCTAATTTCTGAAGGACTCCTCTAGGGACTTCAAAAAAAGATAGCATGAACATGGCTAAACTAGTTAGCATTGAATTAACGAGGACAAGTCACCCCCCAACTGAAAGTAGTTTACCCTTCCAACTACAAAGTTTTTTTTGGAATTTCACCTCGATGCAAGCCCAATCTTTTTTTGAAAGTTTGGTGTGGTTCATCGGGATGCCAAGATACCAGAAGAGGAAACTTCCCAGGCGGCACCCAAACAAATGAGCATATTCCTGTTCACAATCCTTCGCTTGGCCATAGCAGAAGACTTCACTTTTGTACAAATTAATTTTCAATGCTGACAGTTGCTCAAAGGCACTAAGCACTAGTTTTAGCTCCATGGCCTGAGATATGTCATGATCCACAAACAAAATACTGCCATCCGCGTATTGCAGGATTGAAAGACCATCGTCAACTAGATGTGGGACAACTCCTCTGATTTTTCCATTGGACTTAGCCCGGAGAATCAGGGTTGCTAACATGTCTGCCACCAAATTGAAGACTTTCTTGGGGGTCTGTACATGACAGGAAGAATCCTAAACAAGATGTGGTTGCACTTGATGGTTTGGAACCTCCATTAGGGATTAAACAGTTAAAAATAAATAAATATGCAGGTGGATGATTTGCTTCATGGATGCGGAAGCAAGACAGTGCAGGAGTTCAGGGCCATGGTAAGTTCCCTTTTTTGACCAAGATGAGCCTAGATGATTTCCCAAACTTGAAGCACGTAGATGGGCTTGTGCAATTGCCCTGTTTGGAGGAGCTTGATCTGGTGGACATGCCTGCTGTTGAGAGCATAAGTGGAGGCCCATTTCCTTCGCTTGTGAAATTTAAAATATATGGACTACATAGTCTGGGAGAGGTGTGGATTGTAACGGAGGGAGAAGACTGCAGCAATCACAATCCTCATAAATCAGGACAACTGCAAATTGGTAGTTGTCTTACAGATTTACGTATAGAAGATTGTCCTAAATTGGTGGTTAAGCCACACTTCCCGATTTCACTCAAGCACTTGTGGTTGAAGAAATCCAGTAACAACCTGCTGCTATCTCCATGCCAAGGCCATGGATCCTCTTCGTCCTCCAATTTTGCACCATCATTTAGCAACCTGAAGTTGCTTCAACTGTGGCATATGAAAGCATCTCTACCTTTATCACCACCACCGTCGCCTGGATTTAGATTGGAGCTGCTCCAGCACACGACGGCACTTGAGTCCTTGGAGATTTTCCGCTGCAGTGACCTAATTGAGCTGCCCAAGTGCCTAGGGAATCTCTCTTCCTTGCAACGGATGACCATCAAAGACTGCGATCGCTTAAACGGCCTTCCCCAATCAATAGGTCAACTCACCTCTCTCCAGGAGCTCATAAAAAGAAGATTGCCATGCCTTTGTCCAGTTTCCGGAAAGTCTGGGAGAGCTCCGCTCTCTCCGTTGGTTCGAGATTCGTGGTTTGCGAGTCTTGCCTTGCCTTCCCGAATCCTTGTGCCACCTCACGTCCCTCAAGGAGCTCAGCATAGAAAATTGCCATGCGCTTGTCCAATTGCCCGAAGGTCTGGGAGAGCTCTGCTCTCTAAGCAAGTTGGACATTTGGCTCTTGCCTGGCCTGACTTGCCTTCCTCAATCCTTGCGCCGCCTCATGTCCCTACAGGAACTCGAGATTAGAGGGTGCATAGAGCTTGGCGAACTGCCCGAATGCCTGGGTGAGCTCCACGGCCTACGCACGTTAACTGTTTGGCGATTGGACAGCATGACCTGTCTTCCCCAATCTTTATGCCGCCTCGCCACCTCCCTTAAAGAGCTTCAGATCTTAGCTTGCCCAGGCCTCACATCATTGCCGGGGTGGATAAAGGGCCTCACCGCTCTGCGGCTATTGGAGATCGAGTGGTGCCCCGATCTGGAGAGGCACTGCGAGAGAGGAGAGGGGGAGGACTGGCACCTCATCTCCTACATCCCTCATCTACGGATTGGCCGGAAACGCATATACTAGGGGCCTGCTACCTGTTAGTGCTTCAGTTGGCGAGTTCATCAACCTCTAGCCATGATTCATCCTTGTGCAGATTCAATGGTGAACCTATTTTCTGATTCATCTAAATTCATTGTTGGTGTTCAAGGTACCTGTGCAGTTTGCTTCTCTGGGCGTGTATGAAGACCGTATTACTTATGGGTATCCAAATATCAACAGGATTGATTTGCAACGGCAATTTTGAGGTTATATATATATTTGTCAAGGACTCCAAGGACATGCTCGCTACATGGTGGTAACTGGCAGACATCCATTGTTGTTATTTGTCAAACCTGCACACCAATAGCCTCAACTGATTGCAGCAAGCAAAGCACATTTAAAACAGGTTATTTCTCATTCCATAATTTCCTTCTTTTCTTTTTTGGAATATACAAAAGCATCCTTGTACATGCACACAAATGGTCCAAACTTATAGCGGGTGCATGTGTGAGTAGGCTAAAATGCTGAATTGAACTCTGGTTTCAAGTACATGCACATAGATGGTCCTAACTCCTGACGTGATGTGTGAATGTGTCACAATCTTCTGTTGTCAAATTTATTCTGGAGAATGCTTCACATGACACAGCTGTGTGCTAGTTGTCATGCTTAGAAAAGGAATATTGAGCAGTTTTCGTGTTTAGAAAAGGAACATTGAAAAAAAAAGTTATCATATTTAGAAAAAAGAATATAAAGCAGTTCTAATCTGTAAGCACTACATGTAGTTATGATTGGTTTGCTTCAGTAATGGCTTTGCAGCTGATGGAGATGCTACAAAAAAAAAGACAAAATTTTGCAGTGCTTCGTTTCTTGAATAATTTGAATGAGGATGTAGTTTTGACTTTTAGGTACTTCCCTATTATTGCAGGGACACTGCGCTTGGCAATCCTTGGTTAGCCTCAGTCAAGGTGGAAGGCCTGCATGCATGGGTGAAAAAAGCAAATGACGCCGTGTTTAGTTGGAGGCCAAATTCCAAAAAGTTGCTACAGTACCTGTCACATCGAATGTTTGCGGCATGTGCATGGAGCATTAAATGTAGACGAAAAGAAAAACTAATTGCACAGTTTGGTGGGAAATTACGAGACGAACGTTTTGAGCCTAATTAGTCCATGTTTGAACACTATTTGCCAAATAAAAACGAACGTGCTACAGTAGCCCCAAAATCCAAATTCATGGAACTAAACAAGGGCTGAACATCTGAGGCTATATGATATAAACAAATTCGTTCCAGTATTTCTGCTCTTGGAACCCATGCAAGGAGGACCATTTATACGAAGTCGATATATATATATCAAAGTAAGCAGCCCAAAATGCTACGGCCTACAGGGGCATCCTCGAGTTCTGCTTTGCAATGAACAAATGCTTTAGTTACTTACGCTGCACTACTTGCATGTTGCCTGTACTCAGGCCAGCGGCTGCAAATTTCCTTTGCTACTTACCTGCGCCGTGAAGTAAAAAGTAAATTGTTGCACTGCACCGTCTATTCTCCACGAGGCGTGGAGCATTCAGTTGTATTAAGCGGACGACTCTGCTTTGTCGACACACCCAGAGTTTGACTTTTGATCAGAATATGCAGCGTTTGTTTTGATCTCCTTTACATATCAAAAATTCAGATTTCGGAGCGACAAAACATTTTGTTCTACTGTACAGTTAATATGTGGAGCTACTGCGAGTGATGCACGATGTGTTTTTCTTCCTTGCATGATTTCAGCCTTGTATCTTGAGTTTTACTCGGCTTGTCCTTGCATGATTTCAATCTGGTCCACCAGGCTCGTTTGGCTGTAGGTGCGCTGCATCGCCACTTGTCAACAGCTTGTTCGTTTGGCTGTGACTTGTCGTAAACGATCATAAATTTTCAGCCGGAACAATATTTTTCTCTCACACAAACCAGCCAGCAGTACTTCTTCACGAACCAGCAACGATACGAACCAACCAACCGAACAGGCTGTCTGGCCGTATCCATAGATGGTCCTAACTCCTGATGTGATGTGTGAATGTGTCACAATCTTCTGTTGTCAAATTTATTCTGGAGAATGCTTCACATGACACAGTGTGTGCTAGTTGTCATGCTTAGAAAAGGAATATTGAGCAGTTTTCATGTTTGGAAAAGGAACATTGAAAAAAAAATTATCATATTTAGAAAAAAGAATATAAAGCAGTTCTAATCTGTAAGCACTACATGTAGTTATGATTGGTTTGCTTCAGTAATGGCATTGCTTCAGTAATCTGTAAGCACTACATGTTTAGAAAAGGAACATTGAAAAAAAAAGTTATCATTTTGTTCTACTGTACAGTTAATATGTGGAGCTACTGCGAGTGATGCACGATGCGTTTTTCTTCCTTGCAAGATTTCAGCCTTGTATCTTGAGTTTGACTCTGCTTGTCCTGGCATGATTTCAATCAGGTCCACCTGCAGTCTCGTTTGTTTTTATGCATTTTGGTGTGTAGGACTGTAGTCTGTAAGTGCACGGCATTATGGAGCGCTGCATTGTCATTAGTCAAACGTTTTTTGAAACAAAGTCATTTGTCAAACTGATGACACCTTTGCAGGCTTGCACAAAGTATGCACTGTGCTACTAGCTGCTAGCGGACACCATGGAAATATTCCACCGCCATGCGAGTGCAAAGGGAACCGCTGCCTGCCCAGCTAGCTATGCACAGTGGCCCCCTTGTGCAAGCCTGTGCGTGCAGTTTGACAAATGACTTTGGGCAAAAACGTTTGACTAATGACAATGCAGTGCTCCATAATGCCGTGCACTTACAGACTACAGTCCTACACACCAAAATGCATGAAAAACAAACGAGACTGCAGGTGGACCTGATTGAAATCATGCCAGGACAAGCAGAGTCAAACTCAAGATACAAGGCTGAAATCATGCAACGAACAAAAACGCATCGTGCATCACTAGCAGTAGCTCCACATATTAACTGTACAGTAGAACAGAATGTTTTGTCGCTCCGAAATCTGAATTTTTTATATGTAAAGGAGATGAAAACAAACGCTGCATATTCTGATCAAAAGTCAAAACGCTGGTGCGTCGACAAAGCAGAGTCGTCCGCTTAATACAACTGAATGCTCCACGCCTCGTGGAGAATAGACGGTGCAGTGCAACAATTTACTTTTTACTTCACGGCTCAGGTAAGTAGCAAAGGAAATTTGCAGCCGCTGGCATGAGTGCAGGCAACATGCAAGTAGTGCAGAGTAAGTAAGTAACGCATTTCTTCATGGCAAAGCAGAGCACTCCACCCGAGGAGTGCAGCCTCGAGGATGCATGGGTTCGTATAAATGGTCCTCCTTGCATGGGTTCCAAGAGCAGAAATACTGAAACGAATTTGTTTATATCATATAGCCTCAGATGTTCATTTGCTTTTTTCACCCATGCATGCAGGCCTTCCACCTTGACTGAGGCTAACCAAGGATTGCCAAGCGCAGTGTCCCTGCAATAATAGGGAAGTACCTAAAAGTCAAAACTACATCCTCATTCAAATTATTCAAGAAACGAAGCACTGCAAAATTTTGTCTTTTTTTTGTAGCATCTCCATCAGCTGCAAAGCCATTACTGAAGCAAACCAATCATAACTACATGTAGTGCTTACAGATTAGAACTGCTTTATATTCTTTTTTCTAAATATGATAACTTTTTTTTTCAATGTTCCTTTTCTAAACACGAAAACTGCTCAATATTCCTTTTCTAAGCATGACAACTAGCACACAGCTGTGTCATGTGAAGCATTCTCCAGAATAAATTTGACAACAGAAGATTGTGACACATTCACACATCACGTCAGGAGTTAGGACCATCTATGTGCATGTACTTGAAACCAGAGTTCAATTCAGCATTTTAGCCTACTCACACATGCACCCGCTATAAGTTTGGACCATTTGTGTGCATGTACAAGGATGCTTTTGTATATTCCAAAAAAGAAAAGAAGGAAATTATGGAATGAGAAATAACCTGTTTTAAATGTGCTTTGCTTGCTGCAATCAGTTGAGGCTATTGGTGTGCAGGTTTGACAAATAACAACAATGGATGTCTGCCAGTTACCACCATGTAGCGAGCATGTCCTTGGAGTCCTTGACAAATATATATATAACCTCAAAATTGCCGTTGCAAATCAATCCTGTTGATATTTGGATACCCATAAGTAATACGGTCTTCGTACACGCCCAGGGAAGCAAACTGCACAGGTACCTTGAACACCAACAATGAATTTAGATGAATCAGAAAAATAGGTTCACCATTGAATCTGCACAAGGATGAATCAAGGCTAGAGGTTCATAAACTCACCAACTGAACCGCTAACAGACAGACAGACCCCTAATCATCTGCCTATCCAACCAATCCGTAGATGAGGGGGATGTGGGAGATGAGGTGCCAATCCTCCCCCTTTCCTCTCTCGCAGCGCCTCTCTAGATCGGGGCACCACTCGATGTCCAATAGCCGCAGAGCGGTGAGGCCCTTTATCCACCCCGGCAATGATGTGAGGCCTGGGCAAGCTAAGATCTGAAGCTCTTTAAGGGAGGTGGCGAGGCGGCATAAAGATTGGGGAAGACAGGTCATGCTGTCCAATCGCCAAACAGTTAACGTGCGTAGGCCGTGGAGCTCACCCAGGCATTCGGGCAGTTCGCCAAGCTCTATGCACCCTCTAATCTCGAGTTCCTGTAGGGACATGAGGCGGCGCAAGGATTGAGGAAGGCAAGTCAGGCCAGGCACGAGCCAAATGTCCAACTTGCTTAGAGAGCAGAGCTCTCCCAGACCTTGGGGCAATTGGACAAGCGCATGGCAATTTTCTATGCTGAGCTCCTTGAGGGACGTGAGGTGTGTTATCAGTTTGACAAATGACAAATGACAAATCTGGCCCATCATGTTAACTGAACAACAGAACACAAACGTCTGTTCTTCTGTGAAATCCCATACTTATGTGACGAAGATCGAAGCATTACACTACACAGGCGCGTAGAGAATTCATATCATTTGAAACCGAGGACTCCCAGCTCCCAGGTGCAGTGGGCTGCAATGCAATAATAGGCAAATCCATAAATGTCAAAACAACATCCTCGTCCAAAGTATTCCACAAATCAAACCACATTTTAATAAAAAATAATAATTAGGAAATTGGCTCTCAAGTGAATGTACACATGAAAACAGGGGGACTGCTCATAGATACAGGTAAAAATAGCACAACAAACTCACCCGATTAAGCAGTAGCATGCAGTCGCTGGCCAAATTCTCCCCACACGGCCACACCTCATTCATCCGTCAAAACCATGAATGTAGACATCAGGGATGTGGGAGATGAGGTGCCAGTCCTCCCCTGTTCCTCTCTTGCAGCGCCTCTCCAGATCAGGGCAGAAACAGATCATCAATTGCTTCAGAGCCGTGAGGTCCTTTATCCCCTCCGGCAAGGATTTGATGCCCGGGCAGTGGAGGATTGTGAGCTCATGAAGAGAGGTGGTGAGGCGGCAGATGGATTGTGGAAGGCAAGTCCGCTCTGGCAAGTCTGTAATCTCGAGTTTGCGTAGAGAGCAGAGTTCTCCGAGGCAGTCGGGCAACTGGTGAAGTGCTTGGCACCATCCTATCTTGAGCAACTGGAGGGATGTGAGTTTTCCCATTGATTGGGGGAGGCTGATCAGGCTACGACAGATTACGATGCTCAACTTTTGTAGAGACCGGAGTTTCCCTAGCGACTCGGGTAGCATGCGGATATTAGGCCAGCCGTCCACTTTCAGGGACCGGATGGATGTGAGGCTCCACAAGCTCTCAGGCACCTCGGTTTGCACTCCAGAGAAGCAACGAATCTCCAATGACTCGAGTGCCGTCATGTGTTGCAGTAGCTCCCACCCATGCCCAGATCCTAATCCTGTCACATTCCATAGTTGAAGCTTCTTCAGTTTGTTAAAACTGGGGGACGAAGAAGACCCCTGGCATTGGCCTGGTGACTGCAGCACCAGCTCACTGCCATGCAAGCTCAAGCGCTGCAGCGACGGAGGAAGGTGCGGCATCACCTCCAACTTAGGACAACGATTGATCACTAACTCTGATAAGCAGCTACCAACTCGGACTAGTCCCAAGTGAGGTGTTAAATTGTAGCAGCCTCCCCCATCTTCTACATCGGGCATGGTCGTCTCTGGTACCATCCACACCACTCCCAGACAAGGCAGATAATCCATCTTCAACTTCACCAGCGAAGGAAATGGGCCTCCACTTATGCTCTCAAGAGAAGGCATCCTTAGCAGACAAAGCTCCTCCAAACAAGGTAGCTCGACAAGCCCATCTAGATGCTTCAAGTTCGGCAAATAACATAGCCTCATCTCCCTCAAAAATGGGAAGGGAGCAGGGCCCTGTACTCCACCGCCAACTTGACTTTGCATCCACCCTGCAAATTGCCTACCTGAATACCCATGAATGTCCAGCATTTTAATACCAGGTGGTGGTTCCAGACCATCAAGGACAGCCTGCTCCAACTCAGTGTTTACCTCTTTTGGGTAATCTGCCATCCACTCTAGGCGCAACCTCTGTAAGTTTGCCTTCTGTTTCAAGCATGCCTCGTGTGCATCATTCGTATCCATCACATGTTGAATACCTATGATTGTTAGTTCCTCACCAAACCTAGATACATTTGCAAGCTCTGACATTCGAGCAAACTTTTCTCCCTTACCAATAGGAAATAAGCCCAACTTTTGTAGTTGACTGAGCTGTCCAATGCCTACAGGCATTCCTCCCAATTTTGTACAATAATTTAGGTTCAAAACTTGAAGCTTATCCAAGTTGCCGATGCCTTCAGGCAGCTCTACTAGCTCACGACAACCCTGAAGGTCCAAACACTCCAGATTTTCCAGTTTTGTCATACTTGATGGTAGCCTCTCAACTTTGCTGTAACTTAGTCTCAACAATCTTAGCATTTTGTTTCTGCCAATGGAATCTGGCAAGCATTTCAGCTCTCTACAGCATGATAGGTTCAATGTTCTTAACTTCTGCAACTTACCAATAGAGTCTGGCAACACTGTAAGCTTACTGCAACTGCAAAGATCAATACTTGAAATCATATGACAATCACCAATAGAATCTGGCAAACTCTTTAGCTTTATACATCCCGACAAGTTTAGTGTTCTTAACATTTTCATCTTACAAATGGATTTGGGTATCTCGGCAAGTGAAGAGCTGCGTGTTACATGAAGTGCTTGCAGGCTCCAAACATCTGACATAGTCTCAGGAAGTTTTTCACAATCTAGTTTTGAAACGGCAAGATATTTCAGATACTTAACTTGAGATATGGTGTTAGCTCCTTCTGCATTGAGATATCCCACCATAACACTGCGCAAGAGCTTTGCATGCTTCAATGCCATGGCATATATGTAATCTTCATACTTAGGCATATATACAGCACGTGCTTTTATAAAAAAAAATTTAGGTGCCATATGTTCTGTCTGTTTAATCAAAGAAAAGTATCTATAGCTCTTTGTGGTACTGCTGCTTGCCTCGTTTGGCATGTCAAGTGAAATTTCATCACCCAAGATGGACAAGGCAAGATCATGAACCAAATCATGCATCCCACATGTCACTCTCCCATCTGTTTCAGAGAGCGTTTTGTAGGAAATACACTTGCAGAAGAGACTCAAAGTGGTTGTGGCCAACATGCTCCAAGTCCAAGCAATCAACACCATCCTCTACAGCGATCATATCATGAGCAATCCATAGGTCAATCAATTGTTCTTTATCAATCCTATGACCTTTAGGAAACAATGAACATATTTTAAAACACTGCTTGAGATTAAATGGCAGATGGGAATAGCTTAACCTTAAGCATGCAGCTACTCTATCTTCTTTACCATCAACATTCAATAATTTTTTCTCTCTCACATCCTGCCACTCTTCTATCCGCTCCTTCCCATGGAGAGCACCTGCAAGTACTTTAATTGCTAGTGGCACCCCACCACATTTGTCCACAATCGCTTTCCCAACCTCTTCAAAATCCCAACCAGTAGGAGGTGTTACCAAGCTTTGTTGGAATAGTTTCCAGCTGTCATCTGGAGACAAGAATGGTAAGTAAAATTGGTTGGTGGATCCCACTATTACCGCAACTTCTCTGTTCCGAGTAGTAAGTAAAATCCTGCTTTTAGGTGCGCCAACCTTTAGACATACCATGAATTCTTCCCACTCATCTCGTGAGTTGGTCCAAACATCATCCAATACCAGAAGAAACCTTTTGCCCTTCAACTTGTCCGAGATAGTTTGGTTCATATAAGGCAAGGCATGGGTTCCTGGATTATTGTCAGCAAAAGCTTCAAACAATTTTTTGATGAGATCATTGACAACAAATTCTTTTGACACATGAACCCATAGTCTAACTTCAAATAAATGCCTCTCTATAATATTACCATCATTGAAAACCAGTTTAGCCAAGGTAGTCTTCCCTGACCCACCAAGCCCGATGACCGAAACTATCTTAATTTTCTGTTGATCATCATTCTCTTCAAGCATGGATATTATCTCCTGCTTATCTTTATCTCTTCCAACTACTAATGCCTCGTCAACATTAGGCAATGATGTCACCTCCTTTGTTCTCATGTTCGTAAGTCGAACAGGAGGATCCACACTATTTGTTATTGCTAGGTAGTCAGTTCTTTGCTTCACGATTGCAGCAAATCTCTTCTTGATTGCCTTGATCTTGTTGGCTGAGTTGCATTGAAAAACAAATGATTTTGGTATTGTGCACAGGTATTTGGACACAATACCACTGTCACCATTGGAGTCATGTTTTTCAGCCTTTAGCTGGAACTCATCAACAACATCATCAACATCATAAGAAATATCTTTCAACTTTTTCAGCCAAGGAAATGATTGTGTACTTCCAATAGAATTTTCTGCTGTTTTTTCCAGCCAAAAGTTGATCCCCTCAACAAGATCATGGAGCTCCTGGAGATCTTCCTTGACACCCACTATAGAGCTGTACTCTTTGATTAGTAGTGGAGCTAATTTGTTGCCCACAACCTTCAAGGTTCCAGATACTAAAGCAGATATGGCAGCAGCTTCTACCCCGGTCATTTTTCTTATAGATTCTCCTGTGCCAGATATTAATTTCCTGCAAAAATGAATTCGCAGTGAGCAGCCAAACATGAGGCCAGAATTCAAAAATGAGCTGTACCAAATATGGCTCCACATGCATGATGAAACTACATCATTCCTATTGTGCTTTGATGTGAGTATTAGTTTTTTTCTGCTGAATTAATGCATGAACAGTACCAACACCAATGTCAGAGAAGATTTCATTCAAATAATAATCTGATAGAAGTGTACGAAATAGTAACCGGTATATTTGAGATATCTTACCTGGGTAAACAGGTGCTCAAGTATGCATCCCGCCTTTCGGTCTTCGTGTTGCTGAAGTGCTCCTTTACAAACAATGTAGAATTCCTTCTAATATAACAGTGAACTCGACATAAGAAGTGTCATCTATGTCCGAAAATTAGAGAGCAGGATATAGGAGAGTACAAGATACAAAGTACATGAACATGAACTATTCAACGATGCCAACATTAACATACCACTGCCTCTAGAATTGACAAATAAATAGCAGTCCTTTGCCCAGATTATGATCTATGACTGATGAGTGCTCCAGTATTAAGTACCTTTAGTATACAGATTTATGTGCTGGAAAAAGTACAGGCATCAGAGACGAAATAAACAAATTCTTGACTAGAGCAAGCATGAAAATCAAATAGGATGTATATTATTTATCAGAAATAAACTAAATACCTGGAGCTAAGGGATTTGCTGCTGTTGCTATGCCATCTCCAAATGTGGTCTTCCTTTTTCTCCTCTGCAACGTGCGCACCAGAGTACCAGACCTCCGAATTTGTGTTGCACAGTGCGGGATGGAGCCTAGATCTTGACGGCCAGTGATGAGAGTACTTGGGATCTTCTGCTGGCTTGTGATGCTTCGTAGCGAACTAATCAACTGCTAGAAACAAAGACACAAGGAATAGCGTAGAAAGCTTAAGGCAGGTATCAGAGATGAAATGAATGGATGTGCACGGAGCAAGAAACAAAATAAAATGGGATGCTACACATACCTCGAGCTCAGGGATCCGCTGCCTTTGCTATGTATACACACCAAAGCTTCCGGGGTTGCCTCTGCTTAATTGTGAGTTGTGGCAGCTTCCTTGTGAAGGTAAGCTATCAACTGCTGCCGACCATGGCCAGTCGTAACAAGGAGATAAGCATGATGGATGGAATCATGGAGAGATCTATATGGCCAAATGGGCTCGAGGACCCACATGGACCATAGTCACAATAATGTGGAGGACCCACACAACTGAAAGGAGAAATTAGATTTTACCCCTCCGTTTTGGAACAAATCAAAATATCGAACAAAATGTTATGCTTTCAAACCTTGTCAATTTGTCAAGGATGGGTAAATACAGGCATTTGTGTTAGGAATTGGATACGGCAAAATCAGTGGGATGTGTTATTCTTCAAACTAATATCTTCATTATCTCTTCTCTCACACACATACACAGCTCAAGGCTATCACATTTCATGGTGCATGAACAATCCAGTAGCTTTTAGTAGTATCAAGCACCTCTTAACTAGCAAAACTCAATTTGCTTTTGACTTGCATCTTTTCAACTCATACTTGCGTCTAGTTTCACTTCTTCGGACTTTGTTAGAAACTTCAAGGATCAACCAGTGTATAGCATCCACTAATCAATTTATTTTTTCTCATCTCAAGAAAATAAATTAATTCCAACATTCTCCCCTTAATTTGTTTTCTTGAGATATCTTCTTCTTTTTGGCAATCATTTCTCTCAATAGAATCCCCGTGTGGCGGCGGCTGGTGGTGGCCCTCCCTCCAACGTGGTGCATTGCGATCCAACGCCCTGGGCCTGGATCTGTCGTCCTCGTGTGGCGATGGTTGGCGCCTCTCCCCCCAGCGTGGCGCACCTGTGACCCCCCGCGGTCCCGTCACTGAGCCCCATTCTAGGCTTCCTGGGCCTGGATCTGCCGTCCACGTGTGGCGGCCGACACACCTCCTCCAGCGCGACGCACCATGAGCCGACGCGGTCACGTCCCTGAGCCCCCATTTTGAGCTTCCCGGTCACGGTCCGCCATCCCCGTGTGGCGGCGGCCGACGCCACTAACCCTAGCGTGGCGCATCGTGACCCGCCACGGTCACAATACTAAGCCCCCCTCTTCTAGGCTTCTCGGGCCTGGATACTCCACCCTTGTGTGGCCACCGGCACCCCTCCCTCCTGCGGCGCACCGTGAGTCGACGCGGTCATGTCCCTGAGCCCCCTTTCTGGACTTCCCAGAAATGGATCTGCTGTCCTTGTGTAGCGGCGGCCGGCGCCACTGATCCCCCAGCGCGGCGCACCGCATGCCGACACCCCGAGCCCGGATCCGTCGTCCCCATGTTGCGGCGGCCGACGCCACTTCCCCTACGCAACGCACCATGACCTGCCGCGGTTGTGTCCGCGAGCCCCGATATTGCCTTCCCCATGTGGCGGCGGCCGGCGCCCCCGCCCCTAGTGCACCCGCCATACCATGCGTATCGGGGTTCTGGCCAGCCCAGCTCTACGCTGGACCAACGACGATGATCGCCCTTGAGTGGATTTCCTTCTTGAAGTCGTCGCTAAGGAACCTCTTGGGGCCTTCTCTCCTCGGTCAGCCAGGTCAATGTGTAGTTCTCCTTGGCACAAGACTTGGGCGAAAGCCTTGCTAAGCTCCTGCATCACCTAAGAGCTCATGTGCCTTGGTGGTAATGGTGGTGTTGCTTTTCTCTTCTTCGTGGTATTTTTGTGTTTGTGCCACCGTTCCCTGGGGCAGGGGCATTTGTTGTTGTTGTTGTTTTATTTTCCTTATTAGTGGATATGCCACAACCTCGCCCTTGTGCTAGGGCCGTTGTATGGTTTTAGTCCGGTTTTTGATAATTAACCGGACAAAACGGTTTTGCCTCGTTCCCCAGAAACGAGGCTGTTGACAATATATCAAAACTATTCAAGTGGGGATTGTCCCCCGGTGACACTTCAAAAAAATCCACTTATGTCATTATTAGAGAAACTAAAATTTCCCCTTAAATCTACAACTAAATTAAAACATCTATTATTATGAAAAATAATTTAAAACCCATAAATTGCATCTATATATAATTCTAAATTACCCGGCAAAGCAGAGATGAATGTATATCATGTGCACTTGGCAGAACCACGAGAAGCTTGAGAAAACCCAGAGGTTGCGTCAAAACAAGAGCCCTTAGAGCAGATCAAGTTTTAGTGCCCCTAAGCCAAGGAAGGTAGCGTCCTCCATTGAGTCGGTCGAATAGAGATAAGAAACATGAAAACCAGTGAACCAGGGTAAGATGAACATACCACAAGTAGAGAAGAATCAATAGGACAGCATCCTTATAGTTGCCATGATCTATGACTAGGGAGTGTTCGGCCTTCAGTTCAGTACCTAGCTGAGACCAGTTAGAAGAAAGCTCATGTTATTTACCCAAGAAATTACAGGTGCAAGCAGAAAGTATATATAGCAGGCGAAGGAGTACAAGGAAATATATAGGGTGGATGACGACTGAATGATCGAAGAGGTGGCAGAGTAGTAGAGCAAAATACCTGGAGCTCAGATGTGTTGCCGTTGCTTGTGTGTACAGCAAGACGGAAAGTTTGGGCGCCGGCCTTGGTTTGCACAACGCATGCAGGCGCATCAACTTATCTCCTGACCTCGAGTCGAGGGCAGGGTTCTGCTTCTGCACTGCTAGGTTCTGAAGTAAGGGAGGGCAGCAACTGCTAAGGCAAGGTGTAGTCGTCTCTAGGAGTACAAGCAAAAGCAGATGTGGACGGCTAAAGTAAATTACCCGGCAAAGTGCATCGCATATATAGATTCCCTCTTGCGGCTGAGTGGGTCGTGGAATTAGAATCTGCCCCCCCGCTCCCGTCGTGGTCAAGTCATATCACTGGAACACATTTTTTTAGTAGATAATAAAAAGAAGTTTCTGGCTTTTATCCCTTTATATTAAAGAGGAACGAACCAACCTTTTTTTTTTACAACCCAACACTTTAAGACAAAGAAAGAAATTTAAGACAAAACAACTCAAGACCCAATTTTATTTATCGAAGGATGCAAAGAGAGTCAACGCTGTCGTTTCTAAAATTTAGCCATGAGCGTTTGTCAATCTTCACACTGTTGTAATTGGATCTCTCATCATAAGAGCTTGTAAACTATTGCGTGGTCTGAACGTAACATCAATCCAGGTAGGTGACTCACGTCGTGTGACTGCCCTTTGATTAGGAAGCAAAGGTTTATGTGTTTTAAGCACATCATAAGCAGCAAAAAAGCCATAGCTTCTAGCTCAGGAGAATAGACAACAATCACGTATTGTACTAATGATGTATGAATTCTGAGTTTCCAGCCCTCCAGTACCTGACCATAGGCAGAACAATCACCAGTTTTGTTTTTGGGAAATAATTGCATCGAAAGCAGAAATTCTAGATGTCCGTTGTTGAAGAAAAATGGATAAAAGTAGCCCGAGCAAAAGAAAAAGGAAAACAGAAAAGAAAAAGGAACAGGCGACCTGGAGCTCAGATCTGCTGTTATGATTCATGACATACAGCCCTCAGTTCAGTACCTCAGAAGTCAAAAGGCCAAGTTATTGTCCAAAGAGATTACCGTTCAAAGCAGACCAAAGAAGCCAGAGTACAAATGGACGAACTTAGCAGGAGCAACAAACAAAAAATGTTTTCTCGAACGTGCAACAAACAAATCAATAAGGTACAGGGTCCTTAGTGAAAAGTAATGTGTAATACCTGGATCCCAACATGCTCGTACTACTTGTGCCAACCCTTGCTCTAATGCAACATGTGCAAATCAGAGCTTTCTGAAGCTCAGATGTACTGCTTTTAATCGTCCCAGAATCGAATGTGGCCTCCCTTTTCTCCTCTGCAGTGTATGGAGACCAGAGCTTCCAGAATAAAGATGGCCAGGAATGAGAGAACTTGGGAGCTCCTGCTAGCTTGTGACGCTTCCTAGTGAACTAATCAACTGCAGACAAAGGGAAGCAACAAGGACACAAGGAGTAATGCAGGAAGCGCATCAGTGAAGAAATGGATAAACGTGACTGGAGCAAGAAACACAATTGAACAGGATGCTATATTATTTGTGAGAAATGAAGTAAATACCAGGAGCTCGGGGAACTGCTGCCTTCCTTTTCCCTCTGCTAATCTGCTATGTACGCACACCAGAGCTTAAAGGATAGCCTCTGCTAGCTTAGCTTGTGAATTGTGGTGCTTCCTTGTGAACTAATCAACTGCCGACCATGACCAGTGATAGGAGATGAGGATGATGTGGTCACCATAGTCATATTTAGTCGACAGCACCACTGATGAATGGAGAAATTCAACTTCGGTCCCACCTGTTAGAATCAATTTAAATATCTAACGCAATATCACGCTTTCAAACCTTGCCAACTTGTCAAGGATGGGGTAAAGACAGAGATTTGGACCTTTTGTAAACTCTGTGATCTAAACCTATCATCTATCCAGATAGACATGCATCATGTCCTATGTGTGCTCTCCGTTTAGGAAGCACATGTTTCTTTGTTTAAGCTTGTTATTAAATGTCTGAGTGTCTGACTGAATTAAGGGCCTACGTATCAGGATTTCTAATGAAGGCTTACGGGGTCATGCAATTCCTCCACAGTAACGTGTTGTCATTGCAAATGTTCACGCCCTGCACTGTGAACTATTCTTCGAGACAAAAGTGGTTGACTGACTCAAAGTCTTCGTCAAGTGTGGAGAGACAAAGAGAAAGAGAGGTATTCTGAGCTGAGAATGCGTACCAAAGAGCAGGGAAGGAAATATCTCGGGGAAGATGCCGACATGCCGTGGAGTAGTAGCGCGTAGCATGGTGACCGGCAAGCCCGCTGCTCTTTGGATGACGACCTGCCTCCGCTCCAACTTCCCAGTCTCCAGTCTCCACCTGTGCCGCATTTTGTCGAACGAGCGGCACGCACCGCCTACTGTTTGAGCGTTGCACAGCGACGGCCAGCAGCCCAGCATAGCAGGACGCTCCGCCGTCGCCGTTGCATGGTCGCCGTCGTACTCGTACCCAGCACAAGGCTCCCGCGCCTCCCTTGCCCGCTGCTCCACCATAGGCCGGCCGGTCGGCACCGATGCCCCCGTGCTCTCTGCAGTGGGGCGAGGACACGGACACGACCTCGCCTGAGTGGCAGGGTCGACACGCACAGACCACGGATACGGGAAGAGAAGCGGCGCGATTCTGAGTGAGCCTCCGTAGTCGGTGGCGAATTCATGAGGCTGACGAGAAGTTGGTCACATCCACATATCGTCGGACAAACGCACTGTCAGGGAAAAACGCATCGTGCATCACTCACAAAAGTTCCACCTCACTGGCTGCTACCTGTACTTCTGCATGTTCTGAAGAGTAGTGACTGACGGCAAGCAGAGTAGCAGACCAATCATGCTAACTGTACAGTAGAACAAAATGTTTGTTCTTTTGAAATAGTGAAATCTGAAATTTCCATATGTAAATAAAGGAGATCAAACAAACGCTGCATGTTCTGATCAAAAAGCTGGGTCTGCCTGACAAAGCAGAGTAATACAACCGAACGCTGGAGTATAAACAGTGCAGTTCACCAATTTACTTCATGGCATCAGGTAGCAAAGGAAATTTGCAGTAGCTCGCTGGAGTACTGGCTGGATGGAGGCAGTGAGCAGTAAGTAGATTACGCACTTCTTCATGGGAAAGCAGAGGTCGAGGATGCCCCCATTGCCTTTTGGTTTTGGGCTGCTTATTACTTGATATATCAACTTCTGAAATCGTCCTCCACGGGTACGGGTTAGAACTTAGAAGAGCTAAAAGACTGAAACAAATTTGCCCGAAGGTGTTCATCCATGTTTTCACCCATGCAGGTCGTTCATCTTGACTGGCAGGCTACTCAAGGACTGCCAACTGTGCCAAGTGCAGTGGACCTGAAATAGTAGGCAAGTACTCAGAAGTAGAAAATACACCCACATTCAAAATATTCAAGAAATGGAGCAGTTCAAAAGTTTCTCTGTGTTTTTTTTAC